TGAATGCAACTTGACTTTAAAACGGCTCCACCAAGAGCTGCTGAACACTAAACCCTAAACCCTAAACCTAATTGTTTAGGCCCCTACGTTAGAGGAGCCGACGAGAGTCAGGAGCCGGCCTGGTCACTGCAGCTCTGGCTACCCTCGGCGCTTACATGGTCTACACGGAGCGGTGCTTTAGTCTTTGTGTCTGTAGAGATATACATAAATATATATATATATATATGCAACCATATATAGATCTTGGGGGGTGACCATCCATATATACATATATATATATATATGTATATGTATGTATATATATATATATATCTGTTTTTCTATCCGTATGTATATATGTATACTTATGCAGATGTGTAAGTATATGTATGTGTATGTGTATATATATGTGTAAACATGCAGGTAGGCAGGCAGGTAGGTGGATAGGTAGGTAGGCATGCACGTATGTGTATGTATTTATGTATGTGTATATATGTATATATATATATATACATATGTATTTTTATTTATGTGTGTGTACATACAGACAAACATACATACATACATACATACATACATACATACATGCATACATTTAACCGGCTTTAGATAAAGATACACTTGCCAACGTACAAGGTGTGCCAGAAAAGCCTACTCGAACTACGTACAGTAGAAGGCGGCGCATTTGAAGCTACAAGGTCTTGGGTTGCAGAGTCTAGGGCTGTAGGTTTTGGGTTTTTGGTTTTAGGGCTACGAGTTTAGCCCTAAACCCTAAACCGTTTTGGGTTGTGGAGCTGAGCTCAGGGCGGTAGTGTTTAGTACCTGAGATGTAGCTTTGGGTTCGTAGGGATTACATCCCCACAACTTAAACGGTAGAGGCCCTATAGACTAGAGTTCAGGGTCTTGGCTTTAAGGGATTAGGGTTGCAGGGTTCAAAGTTTAGGGGTTTGGGCTGTAGGTTGTAGGGCCTAGGAGTCTAGAACAGTAGGGAATGAAGTTTCACTTGACGTTTAGGAGGCATAGTGAGAAGCTTGACTATATCATGATGTTCGTCCTCAGGTTACAGACTCTGATATTACCCTAAACCTTTATTCTACTGATGAAGTCCCCTAATATAGTTTCACCTTGGGGCCAGGAGGGGGGGTTTGGGCTGAGCGATGTTAGTGTATTTCATCGAGGCCCATCGGGCCTTTGGTTGTTCCAGGAATTGCTGACGACGAGGCTTTAGGGGTTTACGGCCTGAGCGTGCAGGATTTACGGTTTTGGGTCTAGGGTTTCGGGATGGAGGTTTGGGACTGGGATGTAAGGCTTCAGAAGCCGAAGGGTCCCCGAACATACCGCCATCACGGAATTACGGCCCCAGAAAATCACAAAAACGGGGGTCGTCATTCGGGGCCCAATTCTTGAATGGCGATACATCAAAAGACCCCTGCACAAAACCCCCAAACCGTAACCCACGTGTCGTCCGCAAATGCACAAGCTTCTGTGCTTTTGGAGGATGGCGATCTGGCAGCGATCGAAACGGCAACGCTGAATTGCCGGAATGCCCAGGCAAGACATGGAAGGAGGCCGCTGGGCGAAATCGCAAGGTTCTCAAGGAAGAGTCTGCTCTCTAAAGGAATAAAGGAGCCTGAACAATTGCCATGGTATACAGTCATAGAATGCATGAGGTTCGATACCACCAAGACCCTATTTCAAACATTAAGGCCCGTAAATTAGGGCGTGGGAGTTGGGGCTTTGGGCCTATCGTTCAGGCAATCAAAAGTCTAAGTCACAGGATGTATCGAACCTCGTCTCTCGAAGGGGGTTAACAGTCATAGCCACAAGACACCTAGAGAAGGGTGAGCAACTACCAAGCACAGAAACAAAGGCCCAACGCAAGATATCGAAGCGTAAATCCTTGACGGACCACTCTCATGCGGCTTCTTGGGAAGTTCTTTCAATCCTCAACCCGAAACCCAAACATAACTACAGGCAGAAAACCATCAACGATAACATTCCAAACCTGAACCCCGCGCCTGAGGAAGCGGAGGCGGAGGTCGAAGGAGAGAGACGAGCGGGAAGAGATGCTGGGAGGCGGCTCCTGCGTCTTCAGGCAGTCCCAGCTGCAGGGTTTAGGGTTTAGAGTTTAGGGTTTAGGTTTAATATAGGGACCTTAATAATTAGACTAGGGTTTGGGGGTATAGTATAAACATAATAAGGAACCCCAAAAACCCTGTTCGAATTTATGAGGCCCCTACGTTAGGCCTTTGGGGTTTAAGGTTTAGGGTTTATAAGTGCTGTTGAGGAGTGTTCGCTGGCACCGAACCCATTCCCCATGCTGAAAAAGGGCTTTTGAGTTTAGGGTTCAGGAAGTTACTAAACCCTAAACCCTAAACCCTTAGGGCTTTTATGCTTTGAGGGCTTCTGGGCTTAGGAGTTTGGTTTCTTGCATGGCTTGAGGCCCAGGTCTCAAGAGATTCTGTTGGGTCTGTGGGGTTTAAAAGTAGTTTACAGCTTTGGGATGATGTGTGAGTGGAGCATCAGGAAAGAGGTCTTGGGTTGGAGGTTCCAGCAGTTGAGGGTCTTTCGGCGTGAGGCGTGCACGGTCTAGGGGCGTAGGTGGGACCCGCGCCAACGAGACCGGGTTCAACTCAGGCATAACATGGTCTAGAGTCTTCAGATGTTTGAGACGAAGGGTACTAGAGTATGACGATGTGGGGCAGTGGGGGTGGGCTGTAAGTCATCGGGTTCATGGTCTCGCCGATGAGGATAGAGCCTTTCTTGCTGTTGGATTCAGGTTGCGACTTTGTTATTCTATTCGTATGGCATGGAGGTCAGTTCGGAACATATCCGTTGGCTGAGTTGCGCGATGTGAGCACCATTAGACGGCCCTAGATCAAAAACCCTGATACCCCACACCCGCCACAAACTCTAGACCAACAGCTGAAACACAAGTCAGCGCAAACCAGGACTTTCAGGTGGTCATGATGCACACGCACACATATACATACATACATACATATATATATATATATATATGTATACAGGCACAGACATATACATATATACATACATACGTACATACATGCATACATACATCCATGCATACATACATACATAATTACATAATTAAACACACACACATGCATGCATGCATACACACAGACATATACATGCATGCATACACACACACACACATATATATATATATATTACATGCGTACAGGCAGATGCAGACAGACAGACGGATAGATAGATAGATAGATAGATAGATAGATAGATAGTTAGCTCTCACACATACATTCATGCATACATACATACATGCATGCATAAATACATACATATGTAGGCATGTATGTATGTATGTATGTATGTATGTATGTATGTATGTGTGTATGTATGTATGTATGTATGTATGTATGTATGTATGTATGTATGTATGTATGTATGTATTTGTGTTCGCATGCAGGAAATGAGAGAACTTCAAGCTGCAGTGCTTACCACGGTTGTCATGAATCAGGATGACCCGATCGTCAAAGCAGCCACGGATGCAACGCGGGAATACCACAAGCGACAGCAGGCTGGCGGAGATACACCACAAGGGCCACCACACTGTTATGCATGGATGGGCATGCTGGAGTTGCGAGTCAATGAAGACATGGGCTCGGGAGAAGAGAATACGCAGAGCATCCGCCAGTTTTGCCAAGCATACGCAAGTGCAGAGTCCATGGCTACAGGGATCCATGTGTGCCGGGTCAAGAAACCTTTCCAGAAGGGCAAGGTGAAAGTGATTTTCGCAGTGCATGCTTCCGCTGATCAAGTTTTGAAGCTGTTGGTCGACAAACTGACCGACAAGGGTGGGGAATTCAAAGGCGGACAAGCCCCCAAAGGAGGCCTCGAGCACGAACTGCAAACTTTTGGACCAGCTAACGGATATGCTGAAGTAGGCCACCTTCTGCGGCATGCAGTTTTGATCCAAGCGTGCTGGCGACCGACTTGACTCTGTTGCTCTCCTGTTTGCTCGGTTTCTTTCTGCATACTGGGTGAGTGGAGTCGGTTATGTCGCTGTTGCACCCGTGCCGTCGGGGTTGTGGGACAGCGATGGGCACGAGCAAAGGTGTTTGGGTCCCAAAAGCGGGCTCTGACTCAGCTTTCGTGAACTCACGGGATAGCTGCGAATGAATGAATGAATGAATGTTTGCATGCAGGTATGTAGGCATGCATGCGTGCATGCATGTATTTATAAACATGCTAGCATCATACATGTATGCATGCATGCATGCATGCAAACATATATTCATACACGCATACAGCACGCATGCATACAGGCCTCCAAACATACATTTTTCATCGCTACATAGATAAAATACAATACAATACAACACAACACAACACAACACAATACAATACAATACAATACAATACAATACAATACAATACATACATACATACCTACATTGGCATGCATTGATCTGTGATTGCATGCATACATACATACATACATACATACATACATACATATGCACAGCTACATTTGTACATATGCACATATACTGCGTATGCCTAATTGTGATTTGCTCTTCCAAAACGGCTCTACTTTATTTGCGCATCCATCTGCAGATCAAGATGAGCTTCGCCAACATTCGTGAGTACGTCTAAACTTGAGTCTGGACGTGGTTACGGCACAAGAAAACCCCATGCTGACATTGTCTGGGTTCCTCCCAGCAAACACAAACCCCTGATTTAATTCCAAAAGACACCCCCTGAAGGTGAACCCAAAATCTTGGATCCCAGAGCTCAAAATGTGAAACTCTAGAACCCCAACATCCCAAAGCGCTCTGTCGTACCAGTTGGTACTCGTATGTTATAGTGTAGCAAGCTGAAACAGTCCGAAGCCATGCCTGCCCGCGTGCAAATTTGTGAGTCGAAACCCTTATAAGTAGGCTCTAATCCCAGCGGGCCCAGTGAATCAATGTAGGAAGCAAAGACGCCCGAACTGCAAGACTTACGTGCACAAAAACATGTGCAGATCTCTGAGGCGCCTGGCTTTCGGCGACGTAGAGGCTGCCCGGCAGCTGGTAGACGAACTGGGCCCCTCCTTTGCACTGCAGAGTCTGGAGTGATTTGGGTCAAGCCCTGCACCCGAACCTTAAAGCCCCACATTCCACATGTTTCGAGACCCCGCAATCGACTCCAAGGTCCTTTCAGCCATGTGGTGGGCAGTGACCTTTTGTGCTTTTGCTGCGGTTAGTAGTAAGGAAGCACCAAAAAACAGGTGTAGAAGTTCTTTGGCGTCTCGACGCACGTGATTTGTGGAGCTTGCAAGGGGGGGGGACCTCTTCGAAGTCTGCACGCCTGGAGGCTTGGGGATTCGAAGCAGGGCGCTTGGAGGCTGAAAGGCTTGGAGGCCCGAAGGCCAGAGGCTCCATGTGGAGGCAAAACTCGGCTCAGAGGGGCTCTGGGCGTTTTCATCGTCGCCCTAGCTGATAACTAGTTGACGAATTTATGTCGTCGCCTATATCGTCTGGGGAAGTAGATGCAGCCGCTAAGTCGATTCTCAAGCCCAAACAAATGTGAAGCCTGGAAAGGTACGGGGACAAGGCACCACCGTGGCCGCTACTTGACACCCTCTGTGCGCTTGCAGAGGCATGCCTGTCTGTATGACTTACGCTTCAAGGTTTGGTGTCCCGGCTTTACGAACGCTTCCGTGGCAAGCCCACAACCCTACTACACCCAGGTTCTGCAGGGTCACCGGCGTTTCTTGGTGCAAAGCACGTTGTGGTTTTGGGCTTTGTACTATGCCGTGTTCTGCCCACCGGGCTTGATGTGGTCCGAATACTCCGAACACTACCTGGTTGCCTTGCCTGGGTTGTCCCTAACTGCAAGCCGAAATCCCGCAAACCTAAGTGCCGAAACCTTGTGAATAATTGCAAGAAGATTCCGAGTTCAAATCTTGCTGAAACAGCGGCCTAAATAATTTCCTACATGATTCCCTAGGCGGTTGTTCAAGATCCTTTGAGCTTAACGAGCTTGCCCGTTTTGTCTTGCAGTTTTTGAACTCAATATATGGCGGCTGACAGGCTTTCTTGAAAGCCGAAACTGGCTTCTCCGACTCTCTGACCTTGTATCTGCAAAGTCAAGCGTCACTACCGCGCAGCCTTTGTGCCCCGTCGAACGATGTCGTTCTGGTTGAGGCACGGCAGGAAGATCCTGCCTGCCAAGCGGCGGGTTGGGTTTGGGATTGTTATCTGCGGCCTTTGAGCCAGTTCTGCGCTGTAGTTGAGTATAAGAGGTCATCTGAACGTGCCCGAGTGCTTGTTGCAAATCACTTTTCCGCGGCATGTACTTACGCACAACGACAGGCCACGTTTGTTGGGCTCAAGTATACTACGGTGACGACGTAACTCAAAGCCTTCTTCTAATCTATCGCGGCCAATTTATAACACCAGAATCCTAGAGTAGGAAGGAGAGACCAACCATGAGATCTTCAAACCATCCCAAGCCCAAGACCCCCCTTTTGGAGGCACAGCAGAAGTGCTGCGTGGAGCCTTTCCTGGTTACCTTGGCCATCAAGAACCGGTGCTGTGACGAAGTGGAGGCCCTCGCAGCTCTTTTCGTCAGCCTCAGCCTCGAGCTTCTTACATAAGTCGTATGGACCCTTCGAAAAGCACGGCTAAGGGTTTCAAGCACTTGGCAGTGGGGTTGAAGGAACAGGATTTTCGATTTTGGGCTTGTGGGTTGACAGTTTCCGTTGTGAGGTTTTGGGTTTACGATTCTAATTTCTCGCTTGCCAAGCTAAGCCTATGAAGAACGAAGACACGTTTGATATAGACGCCTTAAAGTCTCGCCATAGTCAGGAACGATTGAAGCAAAAGGTAGAGCACAGCTAGGTTCAGCGCAGAACCGTCAGCAGGATCGGCGTAAAGATGTTGAGCCATCACATGCCCAATTCTCTAATTCGAGCACGGGGGATTGCTCCGCATTTCTCGTGATCCTGCAGATGACGTATTCTCATGAACACGGGGTATGACCGTGGCATTTAGGGCGTGGGCTTTCGTGCCTGATTCCAGACGAGACCCTACAGGTCCTTCCATGCTGGCAGTGTTACCGCAAGGCCCCCTTGTGAGTATGCCCCCAAAGCCCCGTTAAGGCTCCTGCATAGCGAAAACCAGCAAAAATCCGTAGGTCCGTAAACCCAAGCCTCCAACCCGAAAACCCTCAATCCTAAACCCTGAAGTGTAAACCTCAGTCTTCAGTATTTACCGCCCATCCTGGCCCTCACAGCCTCCACCAGGCCTTTGTGGCAGCCGCTGAGCAGCGGCAGAGATGGGAAATCCATGTGGCGGATGCGAGCACCCTGCCAGAGAGCTACTCGGAGGATCTGTACTTATTTGGTATACACTTTGGTCTGCAAAGAGTTCCGGTATCAAAAACCAAAAACAGTACGTATATATATATATATATATACACACATATATCTACATAGACATGCTTTAGAGTCCTTGTCACCATTTTTCCATGTTCCTCATCTCTTGTCCCCCCTCTCCACCTCCCAGATGGTGTGCCCCCGCTCGTCTTTCATGTGCCGGGCTTGGGTCGCCCACTCACTCAGCCTTGTTTTTGGATGTTCGACCTTCTGTGAGGGAGTGGCCGTGTCGCTCCGCAGGAGGGCGGCAGAGGTTTCGGTTTAGGGTTTAGGGAGTTTATCAGTTTATCTCAGTACGCAAGCCAGAATTTTGTTTTGCTTCGACAGATCCAAGCCTCAAGACAAGCCATGTAAATCCTGCAAAACCCTCAAGCTCCTTCTCTGCCCAAATGAACACATGTACCTGTAGAACATTGGTACCAGCATTCACCGGTGACCCGTCGAGACTCTGAGCCGCCTGAGTTCTCGAATCCTTGCATCCGTGGACGCAATAGCCTCAGTCGCCTCAGTCTGGAGAGCTTGTCCCAACGGTTTAGGGTTTAGGGTTTAGGGTTTAGGGTTTAGGGTTTAGGGTTTAGGGTTCATGGTTGAATCTACGGTGTGTAGAGTAGGGGTGGGGGATTCAGGGTACGGCGTCCACAGTCTCCATCTTATTGGGGTTCAAGTTGCAGGTTTAAACACGTGCTTCTCAATGCTACTGAACCATGCACCAGAACTGCACCGGATCTTCATTCATGGACCGTAGAAACTGAGTAACAAACGACGAGCTTCGGTTTTCCAGTTTTTCAATGCCGATGCCGCTCCTGGTAAATGCCCCGAAGCTGTTTGAACTTGATCGTGTAATGCCGTCCAAGATGCAAAACACTTCCCGACACCCTGTGGAACCCACAAGACCCAAGCTTGTCGCTTGATGAGTGTGTTGTCACAGAATCCAGGTTTCCAGCGTGCAGCTGAGGGTTTCTACGGCTGCCAGGACAAGGCACGGCTGATCTTTGAGGTAATGTGTTCGATTTGGTGTTCGGAGCTTCGGGTTTAGGCTGCGCTTGGGGGCCACACGGCTGTGCTGGGAAGCCTAAGTCTGGCACAGGCCATGTCGGCATGGGCTGTGCTTATCACATGTTATTGCCCTCGGTGGTGGTGGTGGCGGTGCTGGGGTGGCGCCGGGGGTCGTGGATGTCGAGGTCGTGACCTTCCTGGCTGGGTTTCTGTTATGTTTATATTTCATGCTGGGGTTTCTGTTGCTGTCCATTGTTTCCGCTGTTCTCATGTTTGGAGACATTGACATTGATGATTAGCCGATTTGTCGTCCTTAAGTTGTTCTTGCGGTTGCTTCGTTTCGGTTGATGGTTACTGTAGGCTTCCCCAGCATCGTCATCACTGTCGTCCTCGTGTTCCACATGTGTTCGCAATCTTCGTCATTTTCCTCGGTGTTGTGTCCACGGCAGGTTGTCTGCGGAGGCGCGTGTTAAACTAATTCCCGATCCTATAAGCCCCACTCCATGCAGCAGCGTTGCAAGGCAAAGAAAGTATCTGTGACCGAACACATCACCGGAGAACTGCATGGCTGACTCAGCCTTATCGCCCAAACCGCGAACCTGGAACCAACCTCAAGCCAAAGGCTTTCAACCAACGCATGCCAGACCTTTTCTACATACCAATTGGCGAGCCCTCCACCTGGTAGCCTTACCCCAGACCACCTACCCATCCCTACCCCGTACCACGTGCCTTAAACTCTGCGCCTCAACCTTGAACGCCTTCTGCATTTGCAGTCAGGCCCCGGAAATCAGCGTTCCTGAACGCATAAACAGGAAGTCAGTGACCTATCCCGGCATAGTTAGGTGCTTCATCGGCCCTGACAGGCCCTCATCCACAACCCCCCCCCCCCCCCCCCCCGCCAAAAAACATAATTGTGATTTCGTATACCTGGAAGGTTTGGACCTTTCACTCTAAACCCTAACCTCGACAGGAAGTCTGCTTGCCACTGGCTTAAATTAAGCGGGATGTGAGTTGATTTCTGGTGCATCTGTCAAAGCGACTGAACATACCCTGCAGTGCGGGCTCGT